AACTTTTGTGCAACTCCATCCAGGATGGCACATCAGGTCAGACCAGTGATAAAGAGCTCTGCTATTTGTAAACATGACACACGCATTCAGCGATACCGACGAAAAGGAAATATTCATTGTGCAATCTGCATGCAGCATAATCCCTGTGACCACAGCAACATGATGACTCGTTTTAATTTATGGTAAGGCTGACACGCTTGCCTTGTTTTGCTGTGTGAGCCAATGATGTTTTATCATGTCGTGTGAACCCCTGGGGAACCAGTCGGTGATATTTTTAAATCCACGTGTGTTAAATGCATAGTTCCGAATAGAACACTGATCATCTGAGCTCTCAAACAGACAGAGAAGCAAGTCTCACATCAAGTCAATGAGAATCCATTTAGTGCAATCCTCTTGCTGAGAACTTCTACTTAGAGCACTGAGGAAGAGGCCCAGAGGTTCGTGAAGGATAACAATAACCCAGAACAGCTAGGCCTAGAAATGTCTTTCTAGGACCTCATCTTTTTGTCAGTGACTTGATGCTCTAGTAAGTGAAACAACCAATTCATCTTACACTGATGGAATATCACAAAGGGGTTACAACTGCCTGCAGACACTGACCACCTTTAACAAAGAGAACAAAGTCCCATGAGCTATCCTGCACAAGGGAATGTAATCCCACGCTAAAAAGTCCCTTAGCATCCACAGGCACAGACCCAAAGGACTGCTCCTGTCCCGCTCTTCAGCTGACACAGCTGCAATGTCCGTGTCAGCCAATAAAGTTTTTTCTGTGCTGAAGAAGCGCAGAAGTAAACAGTCCCAGTCCTCCTGCAGGTGCCTAAGCAGGTTCACCTGCTAACTAACTGGCACATCGCCGACGTCAGAAGATGTTATCAGTAGGCTGCAGAAAGGGTGTTCACCTTCTGTAAAGTTTTTCACCCCTCCTGCATTACGGTAGAGGTTAACAAGTTGCTACACCCAGTCAAAGGCACTGTTAGGAGTTGGGATCCACATGACAGTATGTCTGGGAGGAAGCAGGACAAGTCTATGTGACAAAGTCAGGTCTGCGACCCTAAGAAAGTCATGTACCTCACTATACCCTAGCAGGCCTGAATAAACACAGACTTTGCAGGACACCTAATGGGCAACAGACTGCAAGACTTCGTTATTTTTTGGGAACTCACTAGAAGTAGAGATACATAAAATCAAGACATTTGATTTTATGTATCTCTACTTCTAGTGAGATAGTAATATGAATTAAGAAAGTAGAGGGCAGGAAGAGTTGAGATAGCTAGTTGATTTTTGTAAGATACAGACATTTCCTTAGTTCAGAACGCTGAACGAGATCAGACCGTAACCCACTGACTGTTCACTAAGCACATTCTACACAGCATCGCTGGGGTTTTTACAAATAGAGCAGACAGAACACCGTCAGGTAATTCCTGATCTGCCTGAGCAGAAGAGTAATCAACAGGAAGAGTTGAGATAGCTAGTTGATTTTTGTAAGATACAGACATTTCCTTAGTTCAGAACGCTGAACGAGATCAGACCGTAACCCACTGACTGTTCACTAAGCACATTCTACACAGCATCGCTGGGGTTTTTACAAATAGAGCAGACAGAACACCGTCAGGTGTTCACCGTCTGATCTGCCTGAGCAGAAAAGTAATCAACAGAAAGGAACATACCTGTGATAGGTGCACTGGTTGATATGCCCTTTAAAACAGGTACAAGTTGCCGTAATAGAAGAGTAGTGTGCTCAGATCAACTTAATTTTTTTTCCCTACCATTGACTTAAAATTTAAAGGTCCTGCCAAAACACTTGGAGTATTCATTTTTTAACCATCATGAGGACAGAAGTTGTAACTACGTAGTTACTAGGACTGTCCTGTAACTAGGTAGGTACAATGATTACAACAAAGATTGAATACATGTTGGGAACTTTATTTATACAATTCACTGGTTATAGATATTGGCTGTATAAAAGGTAAAAGAATAACCCAAGTAAAAATGAAGTCTACATCTGAAATTACAATTTTACCAGCAAGTATGGAAAATAATAATTTATAAATCACCGTGTCCACAGCTTTTGCAGTGTTTCCATTACCATCAACCTCATGAAATGGGAGAAAACACAGGCAAATATCTACTGAGTGACTTGCCTGTAGTCAGGGTGAGTCAGGGGCCGAAACGAGAACACAGTCCTGCTCTCCTGCTTCCCACTCCCTGTGTCCTCATCACTGATTTGGCAAGAATTCAGGTTCCACAGCACAGATCCTCAGCGGGCATACGCTACCACAGCTGAAGCGTGCAAGAGAGACGGAGATCCCCACGGGTGGGTAACTAAAGCCTATGAAGGGCTGTCATGTTTGCAGGGTAACACACCCGAAACGAGAACACAGTCCTGCTCTCCTGCTTCCCACTCCCTGTGTCCTCATCACTGATTTGGCAAGAATTCAGGTTCCACAGCACAGATCCTCAGCGGGCATACGCTACCACAGCTGAAGCGTGCAAGAGAGACGGAGATCCCCACGGGTGGGTAACTAAAGCCTATGAAGGGATGTCATGTTTGCAGGGTAACACTCACATTACCAAGCAGAAGGGTGCACACCTGATGTAACAAGTTGAGCAGTGAGCGCACTCAGAGTGTTACTCTGATCCTGGCTCACAGAAGCCACAGCCTAGACCATTAACACCCTTGTTCTTCCCTGCAGGCTACCAGCTGTGGCTGAACTACAGATCTCATGACCCGGTTCCCCCCTCTCCTCTGGCAGCAGGAGTAGACCATTACAATCAGAATCAGTTCAAATGCATTGTTTCTATATCACTCGTGTCAGAACTACAGCACTATCTGAAAAGGTGTATTGATAATGAATAACTGGCAGAGATTATCCTTGTAGCTCAAATACTAAAATACTGCATTTTAAACCATTACCAATTTTCTCTTCCTTTCTTACTCTAAGTGTTCTACAGACAACAGTTCAGTTACAGCTATGTTATAACATGGCTCTTACCAATTCACATTTATAACACAAGGATCTGTTTGTAACAGAACAGAAAAATTCTGAGTATTTTGTAAATTAAAATTCTGGGTTACAGGAACAACCTGTGCTCAATAATAAGTTCAATTAAATCACATTGTATCAAAACATTTCAAGTGCAAATTCTGACAGGGACTTCTGCAAGAGATGTTATTCTGAAATAAACAAAACCATCTCTATTTGAAAAAATCAATCTCAGTGGAAACCTTTAGAGAAAAAAAGCTAACAGCTAATTTTCAGAAGTCAGGGAAAATTAGAACTGGTAAAATTATTTGCCTCCCTCTGTTCCTAAGGGAGACATTTTGCCAGCTTGTAAAGAACATGCTCTTGTTTTCACTGGCTGGTTGAAGCAAGCAGTGCAGATTAAATGGACAGAGAACTTCATGCGGTGAGTTTTACTGTTTTGCTACAGATTCAGTGTAGCAAAGGAAGTCTAGAAACGCAGTGATGACATGTAGGAAAATAAAAATCCCACAAAGCTGCAGTGTCTCTTCAGGTCTGAGTTCATGTTTCTGTGTGTAGGTTCAGTTTTTAGATAAAACAAGTCACTAAACTTCCCTCCAGTGAAACCCATTATGACTGTCTGGATTTTGCCTCCTAAATGTGATCTGCGGATTGCGCTCTGTCAGATACCAACTGGTGACACAGAAACAGCTGCCTAAAGCCCTCTAATGCATAAACATAAGCAATCGAGGAAAGAAAAAAACTGGAGAAAAATGAAAAACATTCAAAGTGAAGATTAATTTTTATTTGGCAGTAAATAAAAATCACTGTGGCAAGATTCTACAGGATGATCAGTGTAAGTTTTTTGTTAGGTGGCCATTGGGTTAGAAGGAAAATTGAAACTATTACGGTACACTTTTAATATACAGACCATCCAGAGCCATGACTTCTTTCACAGTTTGTGTCTGCATCACAGGCAAGGGCGCACAGTCACAGACTCAGATCAGAGAATTCCCCATCTCCCTGTGTATCGATTCCGAGATGAGATTTCAGATACGTGTCAGGATCCATTTGCAGAGATGTAACTATGTTTGTAATCACTGAGGCATCCCTGCTTGTATAAACCATGCTATTGTTTTGAATTAGCATATCAAAAGTTACAATGTGACAAGCAGAACTTCACCTTAACTGAAAGGTGAAAAGATTTTGCAAGTTTACAACAATTAAAACCTATCTTTTCTTTCCCTTTTCCTGTTTCTCTGAGGTGCTTTTTAAAAAAGGTCAAATAATTTATGGCCAATGAACAGTATACTGTGTCTGAGAAATATTTTCTTTGCATATAAAAAGCCCTACTAATTTTCCCTTTTGAAACATTTAAGATACAAAAAAAAAAAATATTCTTAAGTCTTATTTCATGTTGTTATAAAGACTTTGGTATACTTCATTCCAGCCAATAAATAATATATTAGAATGTGAATAATACGGGAAAAGGAAGGAAGATTTTGAAGTCAGTATTTTATGTTGGCACACTTGCTAAGTATTAAATAAGTTTATCATCTTTCTGTTCCACTGCTTCACGTTTAAAGATCAAGTTACACTTTTGGAAAACAGTTGCAAATGCTAATATGTATTTAAAAAATGCTTTGTATCAGATATTTTCAAGTACATTAGAATAATTTCTGAAATGCAAATTTTCACTACTTGTTGAGGTAAATGGGAAAAAAGATGCAGCAAAAATGACAGAGAGATGCTGGGCTAAGGAACAATCCTGAATTCTCTATTCAGGCGAAAGCCACAAACAGGAATTTTACCCTAGAAATGAATTCATAAACCAATTATCACCTTTCAGCTTTCCTTCAGATCAATGCTGTCACATCTCTGGGAGAAAAGGCAGCTGTGAATGAAAAAGTAGGCATAAGAACCCTAGCTGTCTATCACTTACAGTCCTTAGTAGCCTCTCCCATCCCTGAAGAGTTCCACAGCTTTCTTGCAGTCTAATGCATCTTCACAGGCAATCATAACCACTGAACAACAATCACATAGGTCCACAATTATACATGTGCTTACAGCACAGGGTTATCCAAATTTCAGTGAAGTCAGCATAATTTACAGTCCCACTAGGCAGGAAGTGCAGAGGAAACCAATTCCTCAATCTGTTATACAAAAGAGTTTGCTGAAAATAGGAAGAAATCTTCTCCTGAGAGAAAAAATCAGCAAAGTAGAAAAAATAAAATGCACCTTCCTTGAATTTTATTTTGACTGGGCCTCTTCATCCACGAATTCAACCAGCGGAGCATGTCTATTGGCCTGGGCACCTTCTTGGAAATGAACCTTTTTTATCACTCCTGCCTTTGGAGCCCTGATGGTGTGCTGCACAGAAACACGATGACAGTCAACCGCCTGAGCACTTTTTTATCCTCTGTCCCTCCCCCCGCCTCCAGCAAGTGCTAATATTACTCTTTGGTGCAATTAGAACAAAACACAATTACTTAGTTAATGGTGTATTTCATATAATTTTAGTATAATTTATAAAAGAACATGATAAGGGAAAGGGAAATTTTCTCAACATGAATTCTGCTACCACAAACGGAAGTTTAAAATAAACTAAAAGGCAAGCCAAACCAGTTCAGGCTACAAAAAATTATGATTCAAGCAATCTGAGCCATGGTCAAGCAATGTGACAAGATATAATGGCCAAAATACTAGTCCACTGAATGCCATGTGGGCAATTACAAAGAATCTTTAGTGTGCTCTTGGTAAAGCTTTATGTAAAATAAAAAGATTGTAAACAAGAAGTCCTGGGCATATTTACAAAGTCATCATCAGCTAAATTTCTGCACAGACAGTGAGCAGAAGGTATACCCAGACAGTTCTCTGACAGGAAAATGAAAGGACTACTGGCTTCTTGTGAGGGGAGAGAAGCCTGACAAAGCTAACCAAATTAATGTTAAAACATCTGCAGAAGAGCATGGGTTATATAATTGTCATGTGTTAATAAAGCAACAGCAAATATAATCCTCTAAAATCTCGTCAGACCCAACATGGTTTACAGCATATAAAGTGATACTGACATCTGTAAGCTACGATCTGCACCTTACTTCAATAATGCAACCACAAGTAATTAAATTATGACCAGATTTTTATTTTCTCTGTAATTAAAACCCTTTAAATGTCACTCACCTCCATTTTCATAGCTATCATAACCATTAGAGGGTCTCCAATCTGAACCTTATCTCCTGCTTTCACAAATACCTATAATTCAAGAGAAAATTGTGGAAAAATCATGCATGTCTGTACCATTAAAAACCATCAGCTGGATCCTGCCTAGCACAACCCACTGAGTGATTGTGGTTTTGCAACAACCACCTCATAATATCTTTATTATTGCTGAACTGGGTAACTGAGTTCTCTAGGTAATACTCAAGGGGAGTCGGAGGCTCTAGAAAGAGGTTCAGTACCCACTAACAGGATGACCAGGAAGCCACTTACTTATAAAAGAAGAAACACTAGAAGAGCCAAGGTATATTCTACGCTTTCTGTGCTTAAGAGCTGCTATTTTGAGAAAGTCCAGAACCTCTTCCTGGAGCCAGTCACTGTTTAAAACTAAATCCAGAAAGAAGATTGCAGGAGCCACTTAGTTTTTCTGCAGTAACTCTTGATTTGTAAATCACTGTTCGCTCACTATGCCAGAAATCCACGTGCAAGGCACTCCACCCTGTGAAAGGGTTCATGCCTCTTCAGTGCTAGCAGAATCCTTCAACTAATAAACTCTCTTGGAGATCTCTTTTCTGTTAAAATTTGTCCACTGCACAGAAAAATAGGCAAGATTTGCTGAGCTGAAGAAAATGAAACAAAAACAGAAACAGCAAAACACAGCCCTTAACAAAAAAGGCATTTCTGAATAGTCTTTTTTTTTGCAAGTTCATCTAGCATCTCATTCTTCTGGTTAGATGAAATGGATCAAACAGCCTTTAACACTTCAGGGAACTTTGACTCCGGAAGCAATTAGAGATGAAGAAAAAACTATTTAAGCAGTAGTTTTAGTTAAATATTCAGAACTTCCAGAGCTCTGGAAAAAGAAGACTAGAAGCCTGAAAAACTCTTGAGTGGCTGCTGAAAAGTCAGAGTAAACAGGGTTTTTTCCAGCTGGGAGAAGCCACACAGCACTGGCATTTCTGGCTCTCCTCCTTTCCTGGCAGTACAGAAGCAAACGCCATTTGAGGAAGGGTGAACTTGGATATACACTGGAGAATTCATTTCCTACCCATATTGTTAGAATTACCTTTTCCACTGTGCCAGTCATGGGTGCTACAGCTCCACTCTGTGTTCCCACTGAACTTACTGCCGATAAGTACTTGGGCACAGGAAGGCCAACCTGAGCGCTGCCTTCCTACAGAAATAAAACCAGTGACGTGAGAGTCAACGCCATAAAACAATGCCACCAGTAGACACGCTGACATACAGGGAAAGAACAGACCCAGCTTTCGTCGTTTAGGGTGGCAGACCACTGGGGTCAGGGCAGCAAAAGGACTGTGGGCATTCTAACTACTCTGCTAGGGTCCGAGTCCTTAAAAGTCACACCTGCTGCTGCTAAGGATCAGCAAGGAAAGAGCTACTCCTGTGAAAAAGAGGCTCCACACAGACCTTTGTCCCAAACCCACACCCTCCCTTTTCATACTGCATTCTGCCCTAAGGTAGAGCTTAATTACTGAAACTAACACATAATAATTTACTTATTTAGATTACATTCTTATTGAGTTACTTTAAGGGCCTGTAATCTTTTTAACTGGAAATAAAGAACTACCAGCCTCATCATGCAAATTATGGTACATCCTCTTGCAAACGCCATTATTCATGCAATGCAGATAATGCCATGGTAACTCATCATTCCGATTTTTTAATATTAGCTGAAGTTGCCCTTCCTCAGACCAGCATCGATTTGTTTCTTATCATTTAGTATTAAAAATCAAATACACTGAAATACAAATATCAGCTACAAGCACTTTCAAATAATTATCAGTTTGAAGTAATTGCTACTGTTCTGTGACAAACTCAGATACCAGACCATTTTAATATGCTGTGGTCCCCCATCCCAAACCATCATTTTCAACCCTGAATCACCTAACTGTATTTATCTTTCTAAAAGGAATCAATTTTCTCACTCACTGACCAACAACCACCTTCTAATTTTAGCTATAAATCCAACAAGTATCAAAACATTATGAACATAAGAGCCTGAAATTATGATTCTCTTTCAAATTCTCTTGGAATTTATAGTATTCATTTACATGCATAAAACTCAGACATTTTATACTTGTGACAATAAAGAAAGGAACTTTACCGGAAAGAAGAGATAAATGATGTTGTCCAAAATGACCAATTTGGACTTACACACTGTTCCACTTACTGACGACCTCAAGTAAACTGAATCACCTTCCCTGAAGATCTCTCCAGAAACCAGGAACATTTTATCTTGAATCTGAAAGTTAAATGCTTTTATAAAGGCAAGTCCTAACCCTTCATGAACTCTTAATATGACAAACCAAAAGCTAGTATTTGTAGTATACACACTTAACCTGTGATTCTTCATAGATAATTCTGGAATTTAAACAAAAATTAAGCTTTATGTATCCTTTATTTTTCAGTTAACCAAATATTCTGTGTGCAATGCAGTCAGCTCAGAAGATTAGCTAATAGGCTCTCCAAGGACAATTTTTATCACAAGCTATGCAATAGCACACAGCAAAATACAAAGGTATACTATTTCTCATGAAAAACAAAAACCCCCAGAATATTCTGTTTAGTGATGCTACAAAAATCTGCTATTTTTAATTTGTCCTAGCATCTTGACCTTCTTCAAACTAAGAATTCCATACTATTCGCCTCACATCACAAGTTTCCACGATGCTTTCCAAAAGACAGGTAACTTCCTCACTCTTGGAAGCTTAAGATACAAAAACTACAATAAATTCAAGCAAACCTACAAGGAGCAGAGGAGAGCTGTAAGGCAGACTGCACAACTAGACACCAAACCTGCAAACGCAAGACCAAATGGAAAGGTCATTCATTTATTTGCAGATAACCCCTTCGTCTACGTCAATCTAAGGTGCACCTCTGCCACAACCTCAGAATAGAAAGGCAGAATACGAGTAAGTGCATTTCAACTCAAAAGATGAGATAAATGTAAGTCTAACATCAGTGAGCAAAGAGTCAGAGGCTTGCTGGTCTTTCAGGAGTTGAGATAAAATTCAGTCTTAACTTACCCTCACATACTATTTCTCCACTGAATGAAGACCTGACAACCTGAACTGAAAGGATACTGCTGATCTGATACTGATCCCTGAATAAAAATCCTTTGCTTGATCAGCATCCTTTTTGCAGGGGCACAAATAAGGGAAACGCCCTGGGCAGCAGTGTGACACTTGCCAAGTTCCGCAGCCCAGCACCCTGTCTCAGGACAGGCTTGGCAGCACTCCAGAGGCATTGTCCTCCTCACTTCCGTTTCCCCATCCCTTATCTCCAGTTTCTCTACATTGCCATCTCAACCCCCATTCTTCCTTCTTCCCTGGGAGCTTATATTCTCCCCAGTTGCACTTCCCCTCCCCAAAAAGCCCCACTGTTGAGTTGTATCCTGTAGGATCTCTTTAGTGTAGATAAAGAAAGAAGACAGTTCTGTGGGGCATCATTCAATTATTTAACCAGAAGATTTACTACTCTCATCATTCCCCAAGTCATTTGGTAATCACTTTCCAATTTCCATCCTTAGGGAAAAAAAAAAAAAGGTGTTATCTTACAGATAATGCTCTAGAAAGCTTTTATTTATCCCACAGGAGATCCATCTCATGCACAGAACAAAGCAGGAGTCCTGTGAAAAAAATAGCTTTTTAAATGCAGATTTAAATCATAGAATCACAGACTCACAGAACGGTTTGGGTTGGAAGGGACCTTAAAGACCATCTAGTTCCAACCCCCCTGCCATGGGCAGGGACACCCTCCACTAGACCAGGTTGCTCAAACCCTCATCCAGCCTGGCCTTGAAGATGGCCAGTCTATCTTCCAGTGTTTTAGAAAGAGAAGATTAATGAAGGAAAAAATAGTAGTATATTTAAATACTGGAAAACCAAATGTTTTTCTTAGCTTTATTTTTAAGCATTTCAGTAGCTCTTCCACTCCAATCCAGCACCTAGCAAGATAATTTCAGGTCAAAATAATAGTCTACAACAATGGCTACCAGCCAACCAAAAATGGAAACCTGTATTGGTAATTACCAAGCAACTTCAATAACAGTTAATACCAAGGGTAGTCTACAAGAAACTGAATCTCCTTTTATCTAATGAAACATCTGAAAAATCGGACTTGTACCTGCATGTTGTATGACCCCTCTTGATTGTAACTTACAGCTACATCCACAACTGTTCAATAAAACAGAATAGATGTTATTATAGGATCTAGAGAATGACATATAAACAGTATTTAGTCTATCTTTTTTTGATAAAAAAGAGATATACCAATGCTAAGAAAAGAATTAGTATTTTCAGATTAGCTTAGTACATACTGCAGATTTCATACTGAATTCTAGACAGTTCAGTTTTCAAAGATGAACCCGTGAAGTTATGCTATGAAATCTACACTAAGGTACCTGGACAGGGAACAGAGTTTTGACGGGAAAAACTGCTGATTATTTTCACACCAAAGTGAAATTTTTAGAAAAGTCAATGGCACTCAGCTCTTCTAGAAGTCTCCATCTTATTCACTGGAATGATGAACAACAGTAGTGTCACTTGGATTTGGTTTATACCTCCACAAGATCTACCAGTGTGGCTGAATCATGCCATTCTGCTAATTCCCTGCTTAAAGTGCATAAAACTCATACTGTTTATATTTGCTATTTCTTAGCCTGAATTTTCAAGCAGCAGTTGAAATAACTTTATCCATCAACTATTTCCTCTCCCTCCACACACTTTTACATTAACTTACTGTTTTCCCCATCCAGCAGAGACAGTTTTCTAGTGTAACACATATTTATTCTTCTACCAGAGCTGGATGCAAATGGTGAGAATTTATCTAAAACGCAAAATATACAAACACGTTACTTTCATTCTGCTTTGGCAGAACACAAGACTTACACCATAAAATCACTGCCCTACTATGACTTCTATCTAGATGGCCCAGAAAAGGTTGGGGAACCACTGTTAATAGACAGTGACCATCTCTCACCAAGGCTCAACACTGAATAAGCCCAGGCTGCGTAACCTGCAGAAAACAGGACACTAACCACAGCACCTACTAGGGAAGGATACTGACTGTTCTCCACAAACACATCCCTGAACAGGACAGGAAAGCATAGCAATTCAGCTGCAACACAGCAGATCTGGATTAACCTTCTGCAAACGATGCAGCTGTAACAGTCAAACAGGGCAGCAGACTGCCAGGGAAGATGGAGGGGTTCTCTATTACTTGGGGCTTTTGAGAAGGGATCAGATGGACAGCTATCAGATATTGCCTGTTTGTTCATCGTCTCTTCAAGCAAGGGAACGGCCTAAGAGAACTCTTCCAGGCCCGCTCTCCCATGATTCCAGGACAGTTAAAGTGGAGGAGGGAAGAAAATTAATGAGGTTGTTGGCAACATGTATTATATTTATATGAAGTTTTTGTCAACAGCAATCACGTGCCCCACTGGTACAGCCACTAACAGTATCAGAACTGGAGAATGGTCAGCTCCTGGAGTCCTATTCATCCCATGAAACCTTACTGCCTCTCCCAATTCTAGCAGCTTCAGTTTTCCTTCTGAAGACCTTGAGCCAACTGCAGCACTAACAGTGACAGATACTCAGTGTTATGCTTGTAGCGAGCAAAGAATAGGCAGTGCCGCTGATTATGAATCCCAAGGTCTTTCAGATGGCGCCTATCTGAAGTGCTGTGGGAAGCAGTCTGTACACTAAGGTGGTGATGTATCCAGTATCTGCCCCTTAACAAAAGTCAGTCTGCTCTGCGTGTAAATATCTGACAGATGCCAGAATGCAGAACGCTGAGCAGGCAAAAATAAGGTTAAGAGGGAGCATGCAAATTAAATAATTGCACATGAGCTCACAGCATTGTCTCATCCAGCCACAAGTAAAACAAAATGAAACGAAAGAATGATCCTTACCATCTGACTTATCTCTAAAAGCATCTGTTAGCATTTTCTCTTTCAGTATGAGTCCTAGAGCTGCCTGACATATAACTTCATGTGGGGTTGCCTTTTTGGTTGGAAACAGTTCATCATGGTGCTGAGGAATGAAATTAGTGTGCACATTTCCAGCCTCAAACTGTGGGTGTCCTGACAGGCTCAGTAAGAAATCAATATTAGTGCTTAATCCGACAATCTGTAAAGAAAAAGAAGTATATTGCCAAATTGAAATGAAGTTATAAATGAAAGAATACAGCTTTCTGCTCAGCTTATGCATAGATGATAGACGAATCTTTCTTCAGACAGCACCATCCCAACACAAAGGTCATCAATAAAATGTAATTAATTCAACTAGTCTGGTTTATTAGCAATAAACATGAACAAACCACAAGAAAAATTTATTTTATTTAATTTTTTCCATTTAATTTTTCTTTTAACAAGAAAAAAAATACAAGAGTTGTTTTTTGTTTTCAAAACGCTACCTTTGTCCACTGTGAAGTCAAAGAAAATTACCTGGCAGTGGGAGGTAATCTAGAAAAAAACCTGCTGTTTCGCAAGACCATGCTCTGGGTATTTAAAAGAACATTTCTCACATGACAAGTGCCTCTTCTTAAAAATGAGTTATAATAATTTCAGACATTCCGTATTTGATCTTTCAACAGTAACAAACGGGAACCATGGCTTTTATAAATTTACTGGACACTATCCATTTCCTGTAGTGCAAAACACCTCAGCAAACAGCATTAAAACAGAACTAAGTATTTTAGAGAAATCGGTGAAACTGGTAACTATACCGTGCTGTCAACATTTATTGACAGAACTCCTATGAAAATTCTGAAAAACAAGAGAATTCTTTTCTGTCTTTCACTTGCAACAATCTTCATTTTTAGCTAAGACAACAGCAGGCCAAATATTTTTAGTACTTTGATCATGTTTGTGCTGTTGATTTAAAAGTGTAAATTAATTCTGCACAAATAATATTTAGTCTCACCTCAAGTAAAACCTTCTGAATTCCACTTTTTAAAAGAGATACAATACCTCTAAGTTTTTACAAGAGAAAAAGGATCGCTTCTTAAAAAGTGCAGAGAGCATTACCAATTCTCCATTATTTCTTTACCACCTGTATAGTCTAAAAATTTAATTGTTTTTATAAATTAGAAGTTACAAACAAACTTCATCTGACACAAATTCCACCTACAAATACTTTTAAGTTTGAGAAAACTCACACTACAGTTGAAAATGTTGTTTAGCCTTACTCTTTTACAAAGTCCAAACTGCACCATCCCACTGAAGATACCACAAACTTAAAAATGTGTGTAAAACTGGACTTCACACTTATGTCTACGAATGTCTATGAAAACAGTTTGCAAATTAGGGTAAGATATAGTCTCTGCAAACAAATCTGTTATGGGAGAGGCAATGCAGGTTCCTTCTTAGAAACCACTTTTGTTTTCCTGTAGTATTTTATCTGTATTTTGTTAGCTCAAGCTGTTCACACAGTTCAATCAAGGTCTGAAATCATCTTGGGTACTTTCTACTTACGTTATATTGATGCAAACTGTACCGCAGCTTTCTCAGTGCTGCCTGCCGATCCTCAGCCCAAACAACCAGCTTGGCAATCATTGGATCATAATGAACAGAAACTTCATCACCTAAAATATATTTAAAAAACAAAATCTGTAACACCAAGCCCAGTATTTCTGGCAGCTGGTAACACATAGCAGCGCACACCATATGGCACTGAACTCCAACACCATTCATGGCCACGTTTCTCTATGTCCTTAAAGAACATTAATGATGTGACCTGGCGTTTCAATTCCAAGGGCAAGTTCAGTACAGATTTCTGTAGAGCTGACATTACTCAAATCCAGGGTTTTTTTGCTGCAATCGGAATGCAAGATGATAAAGTGTGTAAGAATATAATCAGTGTGATCCGATGGACAGTAATCTGAACACAGGTAAATAAAATATTCAGTACATGGACAACCACCAGGAAGAATAATTCTGTAGAGGTTTGTCTTTGTAACACCACCCTGTCAGACAACCTTAGTTAGGCCAAAGAGGGAAATGCTTACACAGAAAAGCTTTTGATGTTAAATATTTCTGATTACACCACTGCCTTCAGATTTACCTTGTCGAACGCCAGTTTCTATCCTGGTGAAGCTATCAGGTTGGGGGGTGGATAAGTGCAACAATGGCCCAGCCCCTGGCATAAAGTTATTATTAGGATCTTCTGCATATATTCTAGCTTCAAATGCATGGCCCCGGAGCAGAATCTCTTCCTGCATTAGGGGAATCTTCTCTCCTGCTGCAACCTGAAAATAACAGTTTTCTTCTTTAATGCAGGATCAATATTTTGGAGTGCCAGTGTATGAAATATTAAGTATCTTTCTTCTAAACATGAACAGCCAGGAAGTGCATTTTAAAAAGCGTAAGGAGAAAAAAAGTGGTAGGTCATAAAAGGGTAATTCTGAAGTTACTCCTTCCTTTTCTCTGGGAGCCACCAGTCAAAGGATTTTTAATTATTAATGTGTAAAATAATTCACAGAGCTAAAATTTAATGGAAAAACAGCCTCATTTTTTTTCTCCTGGTTATCTCAAAAAATTATCAAATGTTCATATCAAAGCCTGGTCAACTAAGACCAGATCCTCTCAGGAGGACTACGAAGATGCCATGAGGTTATGCAGGGAGCAAGTCAGAAGGGCCAAAGCCCAACTAGAACTTAACCTGGTTACTACCCTAAAGACAATAGAAAATGTTTCCATAATACATTAGCAACAAAAGGAGGGCTAAGGAGAACCTCCATCCTTTAATGGATGCAGGGGTCGGAAACCATGACAAAGGATAAGGAAAAGGCTGAGGTACTCAGTGCCTTCTTTGCCTCAGTCTTTAAAAAGATCACCAATTGTTTCCCTGGTACCCAGCCCCCAGAGCTGGAAGACACAGACAGGGAGCAGAATGAAGCCCCACAATCGTAGGGGAAATGGTTAGTGACTTGCTACACCACTCAGACACACACAAGTCTACTGTGCCGGATGGGATCCACCCAAGGGTACTGAAGGAGCTGGCAAAAGTGCTCACCAAGCCACTTCTCATTAGCAGTCCTGGCCAACTGGGGAGGTCCCAGTTGACTAGAGGGTAACAAATGTGACACTCATGTACAAGAATGGCTGGAAGGAGGATCCGGGGAACTACAGGCCTGTCAGTCTGACTTCAGTGCTGGGGAAGGTTACGGAGCAGATCATCTTGAAAGCCATCACAAGGCACGTACAGGACAACCAGGCGATCAGGCCCAGTCAGCATGGGTTTATGGAAGTCAGGTCCTGTTTGACCAACCTGATCTCCCGTGACAAGGTCACCACTGAGTGGATGAGGGAAAGGCTGTGGATGCTGTCTATCTGGACTTCAGTAAAAGTAAAGCCTTTGACACTGTTTCCCACAGCATTCTCCTGGAGGAACTGGCTGCTCACGGCTTGGATGGGCGTACTCTGCACTGGGTAAAAAACTGGCTAGATGGCTGGGCCCAAAGAGCTGTGGTGAAAGGAGCTAAATCCAGTCAGTGGCCAGTCATCAGTGGTGGTTGCTACCCAGGGCTCAGTGCTGGGGCCAGTTCTGCTTAGTGTCTTTACTGATGACCTGGACGAGGGGATCGAGCGCACCCTCAGGAAGTTTGCAGATGACACCAAGTTGGACGGCAGAGTTGATCTGCCAGAGGGCAGGAAAGCTCTACAGAAGGATGTGGACAGGCTGGATTGATGGGCCGAGGGCATTTGTATGAAGTTCAACAAGGCCAAGTGCCAGGTCCTGCACTTGGGCAAAAAACCCCTGCAACGCTACAGGCGTGGAGACAAGGAGCTGGAATACTGCCAGAAGGAAAAGGCCCTGGGGGTGTTGGTCGACAGCAGCTGAATATGAGCCCGC